CCCCCCCCCCCCGATCCCCAGTATCTTGTTTCCTTGACCACCTTTAGTCATTTATGGTCTTGGTTTTTCTCTATAATCATCCCCAAAATCAGGGGTAGGCAACCTCGGCTCTTTTATGACTCATGGACTTCAACTCCCAGAATTCCTGAGTCAGCATAGCATAGCTGACTCAGGAATTCTGGGAGTTGAAGTCCATGAGTCATAAAAGAGCCGAGGTTGCCTACCCCCTGCCCAAAATCATTCTGCCCGAATCAAAACAGCCTCATTTTGTTCCATGCATGGAATAAAACCCATGTTTGGCCTGGGTCATCTAAAATCATCTGTTCTGTGCACAGAAAAATTTGGGAAGCTTTATTAATTGTGTCATCGAATATATAAAATGAGCACTGCGCTCTCTATGGACAAACGCCATAGCCAAGGTTTGTTGTTCCCTCTATTCTGTTTAACTTAACGGGCAAGAAATATAAAACCTCCAAACTGAACAAAGTAAATGTTAAAGCAAATATTTTTTTTTTTATAAAAAAAATTAAATTATAGAAACCTTACTGTACATCAGCATTAAAAGCCTGGTAATAAGCATCCATGTCCTTTTGAATAGTTCTGTTTTCAAGATCTTGTCTAAAATTTGAAAGCAAAGGCACAGCCAGCTCTCTTGTGGAGTTCCTAAGGGGGGGGAGGCTGTCACTGTGAATCATGCCTCTTTCATAGAACATGAACTGCAACAAGTATACCTGGGACAAGTGCACTAGAACAGTATGCTAGAAGTGACACTGGAAGCTTTTAAGAAGAGACTGGACAACCATTTGTCTGAAATGGTATAGGGTTTCCTGCCTGAGCAGGAGGTTGGGCTAGAAGACCTCCAAGGTCCCTTCCAACTCTATAATTATTACTATGATAATTATTATTAGTATATGGCCCTTTGAAAATAGACCTTCCTGCAGGTGCCAAGCACTGTAAGGCTTCATAGCATGATGCCAGTACTTTGAATTGTATCGGGAACAAAACCTACAGATGCAAAGGTTATCTCTTGAGTACTGGATCCCACATATTAACATGTAGACTGTTCTATTTTGTTCCAAAAGCAGCTTCAGAAGGAGCCATTTTAGAGCAAGGGTCCCCAACCCCGGGTCCGTGGACCGGCACCATGCCAGAAACAAGTCCACGCAAACAAGCAAAGCCCCATCCGCGGGATGCAGGCAGTACATGAAACTATGCCCCCCCCCCTCCATTCTGCAAAAAAATCTCCACGGAACTGGTCCCTCGTGCTCAAAAGATTGGGGACCTCTGCTTTAGAGGATTCTAACAAGGAGCAGGCAAGAATGAACCAGGATAACTGTGTGGCCACAATTGAAGCGCAAACTGGCTGGCAAAGGCTTCCTCAGAGTACCATTGTGATGAAATTTCAGTGGTGTCTGGTGGGATTGTGTATCACCCGAACATTTTCCGTTCTCTTGCAGACAATAGAATCTAACTGGCGATGTGGAAGGCACAACTTGCAAAGAATTCAGTGCCGCTCTGAAAATAGTAAAGGTGTTTACTGTTTACAATATGACGATGAGAAGATTATAAGCGGCCTAAGGGATAACTCCATTAAGGTAAAGGGATTTTTGGACATTCGCAGGGAGATCATTTTTTATCATTTTATCTAGGGTGCTATCCTATTGCAGAATCTACCTGTATCTCTCCAAAAACATATGCAGCACCGAACTAATAAAAAAAAAATAAACTTAGAACCTATATGTTTAATTGAAACATTAAGGGTGTTCCCCACCCAACTGGGAGGGACTTAAATTAATGGAGACATGGCAATAAAGGGAGATGTGTTATTTTTATTTAAGCATTTTTATAGACCTATAACCGTAAATTCAGGATAATTATTTGGTTAAATGCCAGACTGTGGCACTGAGGCATCTACTGTAAATATATGTTTTTAAATCTTTTTTAATTTAGTTTTATTCATTCATAATATAAAATATGAAAATACAAAAGCAAATAGTTGGGGACAACAGTAGAAAAAGGGAAACAAAAAAGGGTGTGAAGAAAGGGAGGGGAAGAAACAAAAGGCATTTTGGAAGAACATTAAAAAAAAAACAAAATACTTGAGTATATGTTTTTTAATCTTTACTCAAGTATTTTTTTATGTTCTTGCAAAATTGCAAAGTAAAGGAGAAAAAAAATATCCAGAAAAGTCTGTGTCCTGCCCTGCAATCTTTATCACACCAACTCAGCATTTAAATAATTCTTCTTTTTTTTTGTTGTATGGTAGATATGGGATAAAACCGGATTGGAATGTTTGAAAGTATTAACAGGACATACTGGCTCCGTTCTTTGTCTACAGTATGATGAAAGAGTAATTGTAACTGGATCGTCTGACTCTACTGTCAGGTGAGCATTTTATAGTCAAGAATATGGCAGAAAGAGAAATGGAGTAAAGAAAATGTGGGAATGCCTTTTCCTATTTAAGAAACACTTTAGTATTTTATTTCAATTAATGTGGCTTCTTTCGTTACTGTTGTAGGCAGAAATCTATTCTGCCCCATACAAAGCTGACTTGTGCCAGAATTAATCCTAAAAATAAAATTATACAAAGAATGGCTTTTCTGTTAAATTAAAATGGTTTCATTCAATGTCTGGGTATGCAAGTGGAAGCAATATCGATGTACAAGAAGTTAGTTTCCAATGCCGGTAGCATATGATTTCATAGATACATTTTGGATAACTTGTGTACATCAGTCAGCATTTAATCAGTTGCGTAGTCATAGCACTCTGAAAATTGGTATAGCCCAAAAGAGAGAAAAAAACTCCACTAATTGTCAGCTTCATAACACTTGACCAAGTTTTCTTTCCTCAGAGTCTGGGATGTGAATACAGGCGAAGTCTTGAACACTTTAATTCATCATAATGAAGCAGTGCTTCACTTGCGCTTTAGTAATGGTTTAATGGTGACCTGTTCAAAGGACCGCTCTATTGCTGTTTGGGACATGGCTTCAGCAACTGACATCACTTTGCGCCGAGTATTAGTTGGCCATCGGGCTGCTGTTAATGTTGTGGACTTTGATGATAAATATATTGTATCTGCTTCTGGAGATAGGACCATTAAAGTAAGTTGGCAATAAGTTTCTAAAGCAGTGATGAATCTATGTAGCACACATCTAACGTCTGAAATCTCTCTAAATTAATTTCTATAGCTATTTGCTCAATTACTTTTGCTTTTAAAACATTATCCAGATTTTTAAATTCATTTTTATGGCTTGTGACTTCTATAATACTATTCTCATAATGTCCTTGGAGGATACTTTGATTGGTCTATAATATTTGCAGCTGATTAAATAAAGCACATTTGGATTAGTTAATTTGTTTCAGGAGTGTGGTGGCTCACATGTTTAGTATACTGGGCTGACAATTTGTAGGCTCACGTTCTGGACCTGGTTGTTTCCACGGGATGGAGTGAGCTCCACCACACCTCCAGCTCCCGCCGACCCAGCAGTTTGAAAACTGGTGACCACAAATAGATACATGGGTACCACTTTGATGGGCAACTTAACGGGTAAATGAAAGGAGCCCCCAACTGGGCGTCTCCCAGGCAACAGTGATGTCATTATAAAGTTATGATGATGATGATGATGTCACTATTCAATCCTTTCAATCCAGAAGTACTTGCATGCTCCTGACACAAATGTAGTAGTAGCAGCAGCAGTTAATTTGTGATTATAATTTTAAACAAACGGTCTGTTTTAGCCACACTTCAGTTGGCTAAAGACCACTGGCAAATGAGTATTTCCAAACTATAGGTAATATAATGTTGTGCAGTCAAGATTCATTGTTTGTCTTCTCCAAATGATAATCCCTGAAAAGCTTGAAAGTGATGGTGGCAGTGGGATAAACTTCAGAAAGACAGCAAATGTTTCACAATGTTAAGCAAACATACTTCTGCTTGCACAGATTCCCATAGTTACAGTATCTTCACCACCAAATACGCTTTGCAAGTCTTCCAAACCAGCAAAATATTGGATATGACGGTGGGGAGAATGGGTATCATGGGTTGTTGGTGAAGAACATTAAGGTTCTGTTTCACCAGTAAGACAGCATCTATGGGTGCAATAAAAACCAAGCTGGCAGGAATAGTCAACACTCCAGAAGACAGGCTTAAGATACAGAAGGATCTTGATAGTCTTGAACATTGGGTACTATCTAACAAAATGAAATTCAATGGTGAAAAAAATAAGGTTCTACATTTAGGCAAGAAAAACCAAATGTAAGGTATAGTATAGGTGGTACCTTGCTCAATATTAGCAACTGTGAGAGGGACCTCGGAGTCCTAGTGGACAATCACTTAAATATGAGCCAGCAGTGTGCTGTAGCTACCAAAAAAGCCAACACAGTGCTAGGCTGCATTAACAGAGGGATAGAATCAAGATCACGTGAAGTATTAATACCACTTTACAATGCCTTGGTAAGGCCACACTTGGAATACTGCATCCAGTTTTGGTCACCACGATGTAAAAAAGATGCTGAGACCCTAGAAAGAGTACAGAGAAGAGCAACAAAGATGATTAGGGGACTGGAGGCTAAAGCATATAAGGAACGGTTGCTGGAATTGGGTATGTCTAGTTTAATGAAGAGAAGGACGAGGGGGGACATGATAGCAGTGTTCCAATATCTCAGGGGCTGCCACAAAGAAGAGGGAGTCAAGCTATTTTCCAAGTCGCCTGAAGGCAGGACAAGGAGCAACGGATGGAAACTAAGCAAGGAGAGAAGCAACCTAGAACTAAGGAGAAACTTCCTGACAGTTAGAACAATTAACCAGTGGAACAACCTGCCTCCAGACGTGATGAATGCTCCAACACTGGAAGTTTTTAAGAAGAGACTGTGGACAGCCATTTGTCTGAAATGGTATAGGGTTTCCTGCCTGAGCAGGGGGTTAGACTAGATGACCTCCAAGGTCCCTTCCAATTTTTATTATTATTAGTAGTAGTAGTAGTAGTAATAGTAGTAGTAGTAGTAGCAGCAGCAGTAGCAGTAGTAGCAGCAGCAACAATAATGATGATGATGATGTCCAACCCAGAGTTGTCATACGAATGGATTTTAATGCTGGTTGATACTTGGGAAGGTGTATTTAGCAGATTGGAGGCACATGCTGTGGCGAAGAATAGGAAAAAAACCTGCTGTTCAAAAATACCTTTCCTCATTTAATGCAGGATGTTGTCCAATGCTGTTGTTAATATAAGAAAAAATGCACTTGTGAGTTATATATACTAAGGAAAGTTTTTCAGCATTGAGAATTAGATTCATAGAATGAAAATTTCATCAGGATTCATGTTAAGCTCTCCAAAATTTTTGAGCCGTGGCCTTTCATCCTTAAATGACAGAATTTCCAAATTCCCTCACTCTTATTTTTTACACAGGTCTGGAGTACAAGCACATGTGAATTTGTTCGCACTCTTAATGGGCACAAAAGGGGTATTGCCTGCCTCCAGTATAGGGATCGACTTGTTGTGAGTGGATCATCAGACAATACCATTAGGTAGGTAGTAAAATTGCTTTCATTTGAACAAGGTTAGTGGGTCATGTTCTGATGTATGAGAGCAGCCTTAGTTTTGCACATGCTAAATATCTGAGAGCTGGGGGGGGGGGAGCCATGTAGAAAGTAGGAAAAAAATAAAGAGAAAATAGCAGTTGCGTGTTTTTAGAGAAGTGTAGATGGTACCCAGTTCATTCTTTGTTGATAGGACTTCTGACAATAGGACAGAGAAATTCCCCCTGTCCCATGACATTCCAATCTCTCCCTCACCGCTATTTACCTTAGATGTCTGGAGACAAATCGGGATCAGATTTGTGGGTCTGCACAGTGGGAATGGGAAAATAATTGGAGGAGATTTATCTTTGTGATAAATCAGACATTTTATAGAGTTATGCCAATACTGAATCCAGATTAATCTATATACTTCGTAAGTTACATTTCAGTGTTTCCCAAATTTTCCAATTCTCCTAGTAGAAAAAAAAATGAAGAACAGTCTTGAGAGAAATGGCCATTCTCCAGTGTTTTGGGGAAGGGGCAGAGTTAACCCTCATTCCTTCATATTTCTAAGCCCAATTCCTCCAAATGCTCTTTACTCACTTCCAAGGTAATTCCTACATGCTTCCCTAGATGTCCACCCTTATGCTACCATAAATCCTTGGCCGTCTTACTGAAACATCTTAGGTAATCTTATTGGTTTGTCTACAGAGAAGGGAAGCTTGGTGGAAAGGATATGCAAAAACAATGCACTAGAAACAAGCCATTATGTTGATACCCAAGCAACTTAGCTGATTAAATACTAAAACATAGGAGTAAAAATATAGCGTTTCAGAATAAGTTGATGTCTACCAAATTAATCCATTGATTCAGATATTACGCTATGTTTGAATGAGTGAAGGGAAAGGCTGGGATTATATTAAACGGAATTGAAATGAATTTGCCTGTTTTACAGACTTTTAGTATAAGTGGGACTTTGTGAATTAACATTTGCTGTTTGCTAGTAGCTTGTTCATCTTGATCAAGTGGCAGTTAGCCTTGTAGCAGTGTGCTAGAGCTGGTAGCAAATGAACTCTCCCCTACAAGAGAAAAGTAGGCACTTAATATATACGTCCACTCTGTTATTTAAACAAACTGTATTGTGTTTTTTCCAGACTTTGGGACATTGAATGTGGAGCATGTTTAAGAGTGCTAGAAGGACATGAAGAGCTGGTTAGATGTATACGATTTGATAACAAAAGGATTGTAAGCGGAGCTTATGATGGGTATGTGTTTCAAAGCTTTTTTCCAAGGCTGTTTTTTGTTTTGTGTTTGAAACTGTATCTACATGTTAGAAAGGCGCCTTATAAATTTTCTTTAATTTGTAGCAAAATCAAAGTTTGGGACCTGCAAGCTGCTCTTGATCCACGAGCTCCAGCAAGTACACTATGCTTACGTACATTGGTGGTATGTAGATTTTGATAAACCCTTAATTTACGGTTCTATAACAATAGTATTTATGTACAGGATTTTTTTTTGTTATAAAATTACTAGATATAAGTGGAAATTGTGAGCCTTTTCTTTTGAAACTGCTGTGGTAAAGAGCCTGAGAGTTGTGCGTGTGCGTGTGCGTGTGTGTGTGTGTGTGTGTGTGTGTGTGTGTGTTTTAAGGAGGTAGGATACCCCGATATCCCTGTGCTTATGAACTTTTAATGTTCTAAAATGTTATTGTTATGGAACATTACTCCAGGCATTCTGTCTTCCAAACAGTATCGTTTGCTTAAGGAAATGTACTTCATGTCATCTGCACTTTATATATACTTTTTCTGTGAAGTAAACTATTATATTACAGCAAATATGGTTGCCCCCCCCCAAATAAACTTTGAGCTACTCCTAAAAGTAATGTTTAACTTGAGTATCTGCCCTATTAACTATAAACCTCTGCATGTTTCAGGAACACTCTGGACGCGTTTTTAGACTCCAATTTGATGAATTTCAAATTATTAGTAGTTCCCACGATGACACCATTTTGATTTGGGATTTTTTAAATGTGCCTCCCAATGCACAAAATGAAACCCGCTCTCCATCCAGAACGTACACCTACATCTCCAGATAACACTCTGTAATTTACGGTTCTCCAAGGGTAAGCATTTATCTTTGCTCTTTTGTTGGCTGCAATTTCCATTTTTGACCATGGCCCTTGCATTCCCAAAGAATTGTCATTGATACTTGTGAATTCACTTCTCAAAAGAAAAAGAAAAGAAAAAATAGATGTGAACTTTTCTATTATTGTAAAACCAATAATTGGCAAATTTTAATATATATATATATATATATATGCATATATTTTGAAATAGGATGTTCCAGGTTTGTACCATGGTATCGATCTCAATTTAGCAGCATCAAAATATTTCTGAAGGAAGGCCTTAAAGGGATGCTGTTTTATGTGCACAAAATGAAGCAAATTGATACTCCTCAGATATTTTAGGAGTACCATTCCTAGCAGTTCATTCAGTGTAAACAACAATCAAGCATTATAGAAGTGGCGATTCAGTACATCTTGTTACCTACATAGACCCTAATTAATTTTGAAGGATTATATTGGGGTTTTTTAGGTCTAAAAATATCTGGAGTGCAGACATCCAGATGACTACTAGATGGCAGCAAAGAGTTGATGTTTTCCACCATCTGGTGATTTTTGCAGCTCAGATAGATCAGACCTAAGACAGCCTAATGCTTGAATTCTTTAATCACAATTAAATTGTTCATAAAATCTTTGCTGTTATTATTATAAAAATGGCAAGAGTATTGGCTAAACGTAAAAAATTCAAATTCTTTTCATTGAAGGGATGTTCAGAAGTGTGAATAAGTTTCGGTTGTCTTAGTACTCTTCCTCTATTCCAGCTACTTCACTCTTTGCCATTGCCTGTCTCTCTTCATTGTCAGAAGGCTGCACTGATATCATACCGTTATTCTTATAGCCAGGCATTATAAACTTGTAAAATAACACATCATATGAAATAACAATAAATAGGACTAATGATAGAGGGACAATTTTATACATTGCTAGTTCCTTGTGTTTCTACATGGGTGAGGAAAATATTTAGGTGAAAATAGCAGGCCAATAAAGAAACTAATTGCTTTCCGATCCAAATGCTGTGACATGATATGGGCAGGGCTGACTTTCCTACTCCATGGTCAGAGTAGAAACTGAGCATCTTGGTAGAGAAAATAATTATTTATTTGTATGGAACTCTGTGCCTCCAATTACATATTAGGTGTAACACAACCCTGGTATGGTCAAACATTCATCAGTACTGATCTTATTGTAACATTTTTGCTAGGCACTTTTATTTTGTTTGATCCAAGTCTTTTTGTGTTGGACCTGGCATCCTACAGCAGCTAACAATTTCAATCAAAATTTAAGGGAACCAAACAGTCTTATTTGTTATAAGTGTTCAGAATAGCAGAGTAAGCCAAATTGAATTTAAAATCATTGTTTTTAAACAATGATTGCGTCGAAGAGATCTCTAGTGCAGGTCATCCTGCTGACTCCAATTTAATTACAAAAACTAATAAACTCTGCCCTCCATTGTTAATAGATCTGTAGATCATAGCCGTCTATCTCTCAATAAGACATAATTGTTTTGACTTAATTTTAAACCCGTGATTTTCTTTTCTTTTTTTTTTTGTAGGATTCTACAGTCTTTGAACTACGGGACATTTGGCTATCAAACATCTGAAGACAATAGCCGCAGCTAAAGTTGGAAGTGGTTTTTAGGTGCTGTGTAGAGATGTAAAGCAGCACAATTCTTTCTCTCAATGTAACTTTTTCCAGTCCTCCTCCACTCAGTGGTCTCTTAAGGAATTGACTAGGAATTCACTGAGTTCAGCCCCTCCCTCACCTCAGTGCAAGATCCAAAGCTTCATGAGTAAATTGCCCATATACACTGAACCCATGGCTTGTTTTTCCAGGAGTAAATCAGATGTCAAGGATGGACTTGACCTAATTTATATTTGCTTTGCACTTTTGTCTGACTCTGAAGAAGAAAAACATTCTCAGTGAAATGTGGGTGCCAAACGCATAACCCAGAATGTACAGAGCTTTGTTTTCAAAATCACCTCATCCCGCAGCTTTTACATTTCACGATTAATGCGGATCCTGCTGTGTTTGCTCAGAGTCTCAGTTGGACTGGTAGAAATACTTCGGAATGGTTCGGTAACCTTTTGGACAATAATTTACTTATTTCTGCACCTGTAATTTGCTTTAATTTAAAGATTGTAAATTGGGCTAGATTATCAAAACTAGATGTACAGCATTGTCTTTTCTTTAACTTGTACTCTGTACTACAACTGTCTTTCTCTTCCTCCTAATGTTTGGTATAGTCAGATCTTTCCTGTGTGCTTGCCTCATTCTTTCAAATACTGTACCTGTATAAGCATGTAGATATAATGTACATAAAACATTGTAACCTCCAAGGGCTGGGAGTCGGGGCCTTCTGATGCTGTATGCAGATGCCAAGGGAGATGCTTTTAAGTACCCAGGCATTCTTACTACTGGCGCCATATGGAGTTGGGATGTATTAGAAACATTTTTCTGTGAAAGGGAGAGCGTTGGCATTCATTAGGATTTTCTTTTTTAATTGGGAGGACATATCTTAATGTTAACTTCTAAACATAAGACCTTTTTATTTAAAAAAAAGTTAAAATTTCTTTCACTATTCCACAATGCAATATTTGCAAATCATCTTGAAACCGCTGTCTGAAGTTGAAGAGACATCAACCCTATAAATATCTGTATGAATTGTCCGTGATTTCCATGCCAGTATGCTGAATTGGAAGATGAGTCGCTATTCCATTGAGATCTTAAGAGGAGATGATTGGTGTACCTTACCATTTATTTGGAGTGACCTAGCAGGAAATGGCACAGTGGGTTTTTTTTTTTTTCTAAGGATGACTGGCCATGGCTATTAATTCAGTATCTCCCTATACAAAAAAACATACTCCTTTGAAATTATTGTCTCCATGTTTTTAAATTATTGCTCTGCAACATTGTTCAATAGCTTCTCTTAATGTTGTTTAGAAGTTATTAATAAATAAAAATACTGGTTGGTCCAGGAGCAATTGTTGGCATGGATGTGGGTGATATCATAATGGTATTCTATCTGCTTTCCTTTTGCTGCCACTGCTGATCCCCCCCCCTCTCTTATCCCCGCCCCCTTTTTTGGTTGAGGGGTCAAGGAATGTTGATAACCAATATAAATGACCAATGAATGAATTTTGCTTATTTAGTGGAACAGCTTACGGTTGGCTATTTCACTTGCACACCACCTAGTTTGTCTGTCGAATAAAAAACGATAAGCACATGCCGGATGTGAGAAAGGTACAACTTGAGCTGCTTCTGGTTTCCACTCTTCACCTCCCAGTCAACTCTGTTGAGCTCCTAACTTCTTCTGAACACGGGGGGAAAAAAAGACATTACATGGATCTGATCCAATCTACAAAATGCTTAAGAGGACACTTTCCCATATCAGATGTTGAGATGGGCCACAGCTACAGAAATGGTTTTGCCTCTTCCCCCCATCCCCATGTCACCTAATAGCTGCAACACGAAAGACTTGATACTGCAGCCCTGAAAATAAAAGGTATTTACGGACAACCATCCATTTTTAATGCATGTGTAAGATGAAATTCATGTTTTCCCATGGGAAATGATGGTATTTGAAGATGCAGCCTAAACTACTTTTGATTGTGCTTGGTGTGACGTAGCCGTGGAATTCGTAACTGACACCCGAGGAGCTCGACTCCTGGGATGAATGATAGTACCGGCTGTACTCTGGACTTTGTTTTGCTAATCATTGCTGAACAGCTGTATGTTACTGCTAGATTAATGTTTCAAAGCACTGGGATAGTCTTATTCTAACTTGTAATTATGTTTGCCAGTTACCTGTTTGGAAAGTTTGTGTATGAACAGCTTATCGGACAACTGTTGAAATGTACAGATATTGTTGATGATATAAGGCTTTGTACTGTGGAATGTGCTTAATAAAAAAAAACCTCTAAATTTACATCTTTCTATACATGTAACCAATGCTATTGAACATATTTGCAAAGGACTTAGATAAGAGGTTTCCAAACACAGTTGTCAAATTTACAAATGACATAAAGTTTAGAGAACAGCAAATACTCATACAAAAGGAAACGACGTCTTGGTGATCCCCAAACTGAACACAAGCCAACGGTGTAATGAAGCAAAAAACAAACAAACCCCAAACTCTAAGCAATCCTAGGCTGCATCAAGAAAAGTTTTTTTTCTGCATTGGTTAGATCATAATCTAGAATATTGGGTTTTAGTTCTGGGCACTGAGATTTAGGGAGGAGATTGACAAACAAGCATGTCCAGGGAAAAATAAGATAATGAGCTTACAAGGAAAAACCTGTAAGAAGTGATTGGATGCATTAAAGGTGTTTAGCCTGGAGAAGACTGTACGGAGGCATGACAGCTATCTTCAAGTACAGTGGCACCTTGGTGCTCAACTGCTTTGAAACTGATTGAATTTGGTACTCAACACATTTTGACATGAGATCTTTGTCCCGGTTCTCATCATTTGTTTGGAACTCATCACACGCACACACACCCACACACCCAGAACCAATTAACGAGTACCAAGGTACCATTGTATTTGAAGAGCTGCTATCGTATGTAGAATTCTGGGCAGAATTATTCCAAAATCAATTGAAAATTGTTTTAAATTAGCTTTGGTTTCTAACAATAACAGCTGTTCAGCACAGGCTGGATAGCTATTTGTCAGGGATGCTGTAGTGGTGGATAGCAGCACTGGAGAGTGGGATGTCTGGTCCCTTCTGACTTTTACATTCTATAGTTAATATTATTTTGCTACATTTGCTCATTATCATAATTTTGATAACGAAATTGATGGGCAGTGGGACTTGTAAGGCAGAATTGGTTTGTGGATGGATGCAATAAGAAACGGGAATTGAAGAAAACCAGGCAGCAGCAGCAGCTCTGTTGACATTGGTGAACAAGAAATCAAGAACTTTCTTAACCAGGTTTCACTGAAACTAAAATAAAAACTGAATTCAGATCAGCATCATATGGCAACCAGCTATTAGGTGAAAGGTAAATAAATGTATTACATTCAGAGAACGTACATTTCCAGCTAGACCATGGCGGAGCTAGTGGCCTCTGCATATTTCAGAGTATGTTTGGTCATACTGAATGCAAACTACATATGAGTTGGGGGGATCCCAGAATCCATATCCCTCCAACATCTGGGAGTACTTTTACTAAGCAACTGAAGGATTGTAGAATTGGACTGAAATCACTCTTTCTACCGTTTCACCTAATGGATGATCATGGATTTTAGTATTTGGGGATGAAGGAGAACAATCAGTTTTCTCTATAGCATACATTACTCTATAAAATCTCCCAACCCTTGAATGACTCCCAACCCACTTTTCACAATGACTCCTGGTCATTTTAAAATCCCTTCTCTGCATTTCCTCCCATGCTGCCCAAATTCTTAAATGATGCCATGAGTGGAATTGTACACGGCATGCCAACTCCATCACCCCGTACTCTTGTGCAAAATGATTACAGTATTGGCAATTTTATTTTCGAAATAAAGATGGCAAATAAGGACAGTGCCATTTTCACAGCAATTATGTGACACTTCAAGTACCCTTGCATAATTATTGGGGGGGGAGATGGGGCAAAATAAAAAGTAAATACAACAAAGAGTTTGTGTGAATAACTATCCAGTTTATTTTATTATTTTTTTTAAAAAACAGCTTTCTTTTAGTTGTTATTACTCCCAGCGCCCCCATCCTCTTTTCACCTTCGATCAGCAGCCCTGAAAATAACTTTCCATTTCAATTTGCTTATGCCAGGACTCCTACTGCTTGGCTGTTTCTTGGGGTGTTTCCCCTCCATCTGCATAAACAGAAAAGGGTTAGCTTTGCACCTCAGGAATGAGAAGATTTTTTTTTAAAAAAAGAGATTATTTATTTTTCCACCAAAGTTAGAAATATGTTAGAGAGGTTGCAAAAGTGTTTTGTTTCAGGAAATTTCATCATGTCTCCAGGAAAAAAAAAAAAGCCATAATTGGCCTCAGATTTACTAATAACCTTTTTTTCATTCTTGTAATTTGAGGAGTTGTAGGTCATCTCGGGGTGACTGTAGTTAAGGATAGTTTAGTTCCTCTGTGAATACCTAGTTTCTGCAGCAGTTGCCCCCTCCTCAGATCTTTTTTTTAAAAAAAGCCATTGGCCTGGGGCTCTAATAGCCAGTATTTTTGGCATAAGCTTGCATACTTTTAGCATATGGAAATATTTTTAAGAACACATACCAGGCTTTTACTCTTAAAAGTGAAATGTTCCAACAAATTAACCAATGTGTATATAGCATTCTTTTTTTAAAAAATGTTCAGACTCCCCCTCCCCAAACAGCATAAAATAATTAAATAAAATATTGGCGATGTGAAACCATGTTGCAAAAATGAATGAATGCAGGAAGGTTGAGTTCAAAGCTAAATTCAGGTTCTGTTGGATCACAATTGAGGGTCCATTCAGTCTAACCTTCTGTTTCTATTTGTAGTCAAAGAAGCTGAATGTGAAGATGTTAAGTTTTCTTCTGCAATTTCTTTCTAAGCTAGCAGAAATATACAAGAACCGTCCAGAGAGTAAATTTCCCATGACTGCTATACGAGCACAGTGGTTATAACCTCTGATGACACCCAACAAAAGGGCTTTTTTTTAAAGTGCTGTTTGCCCCTAAGTTTCTTTCTTTCTCTGTGTATAAAATAAACAAACAAACAAATCTCCAGTACTATACTGTTTCACCATCTTTCTATCCACCTGCAGTAGAAAGGCTTCACCCTCATCTTCCAAATAATCCACAGGTAATATGGACCTAAAAGTCTTCAAATAGTTGCACTGAAACAACAACATACACACACACAACCATTTATCCTTAAGTGGAGAATTAAAAACGGTTGAAAAAAAGTGCAGTTTAAAAGTTAAGGGATATAATT